CACACACACACACACACACACACACACACACACACACACACACACACACACACGGTGCATTGCTGTAAAAGCCAGGAAGGGGAGTGAGGCGTGAGTATAAAGTTCACTCCCGGCTCTAAGTTGGATCAGATCCGCTCTCTGCAGAACTTCTGAAGGTAAGAACTCACAAGTTCAACTCTTCTGGTTCAGGTTTGTGCTGCAGCATTTTAACGAGTTCCTTTAAGGTTCTGGAWTCAAGTTTAAAAACACAGGAAGAGTACAAACTTTTAATTTGAAGGAGCCTCAGTTAGGTTTATTTAATGACCACATGCTAATTGTTATAATAATCTCAGTGAGCTTTGGTTTGTTTGAAGTATGTAACATTTAAAACAAAAACTAAAGTTTCTCTGAAGGATCTTCAGTATTTATTCAAAGCAACTTGAAAAATACGTCAAAACCCGTATTTTTGTTCTCATCTTCATCAAGTGAGTTTCAGAGGCTGTAAGTTTGAAGTGTCAAAGCTTTGATTCTGAAGAGTTCATGAAAAATATCTAAGAGCTTTTCTCAAAAAAAGAGTTGTCACATGTAGAGGGGTTTTCACTCCTGCATCGAAGGGAAATGTCAAGTTCTAAAAACTACACTGGCGATAAAAACTGGTACAAATCTGCCTGCTTTTATTTTGAAAGTGTATTTCAACAGATTAAACTAAACAGGGTGGCTGCCAGGGAGGGTACAAAAAATAATAATTTGTGTTGCATTTGGGCAGAGATGGGCAATCAAAAATACAGTTTTGTGAGCTGTAAACACAAAAATAAGGAATGATTCTCAAAAACTGGCCCTTCAAAGCGTTTTCCTGCTGGTTTAAGAGCGTCCTGCAGGTCAAAGGTTCAGGAAGAAACTCAGCCCCTCCTCAAGGTTTCACAGTGAGAGTTGGACTTTAATCAGCCTGCTGATACGCTCAGCATTCCTGCAGGTTTGTTTAGATCAGCACTGAGTCCTTATCTCCTGACACACCCTCTGCTCAATAAATCAACACCATGAATTCTTCTGTATTCAGATGGTAGGGAGGAAACCACTGTCAAAATAAAAGCTGCATTTGTTTTCCCTGGAAAATCAAACTGATCTGACTCTGTGTCACAAAACCCATCAAACTTGATCTTCAGTTGTTTTAAAGATATGATGTGTTTCATTAAGTACGTGTGATTAAAATTAAACTCCAGCCAGCTGTCAGCATGTGAACAACTCTACAAAAACAACAGTGATGTTTTCAGGGATGGTCATTAGGAGGGAAGACTCGAGGGAGTGGAGAAAAAAAGGATAATTTTTGGATTTCGGTTTAGATTCCAAAGACAAAACAACTTAAAGTAGACCGGACTCCGGTCCGGTCTACTTTATCGTAGCCCAGGTCATTTTCTCTAAAATTAACCTTAGTGGTTTTATGCCTCATATTAACCTGCTGACAGTCTGAAGCCATTCTATGGGACTGATAATGGCTAATAACGTCCATTTAATGGATGATAACATCTGAAGCTGGTGCACCGTCACTTTATTTAGTTTTGAATGCAATGGATCATAATTTATAACATTTTTCTTGCAATAAAACAATAAAAAACACAAAACAAGTTTCTGAGTTTTCCAACTTACCACCTTAAATCAGTTCTTTCTGCCAGCTTGGTTCCTGTTTCCAGCCTGTCTGCAGTTAGTTCGGTCTGTTCACTCTGAGCCTTTTTAAATACCTCATTTTGATCATTTGGCTTCTTCATGAAGCTCAACATAGTGGTCAGTTTGGGCTTTATTTGTTCAAAGTCTTAACTGGTCACATAACATTCTGCCAACCATGACAAAAAGTAAATAAATAATGCATTAATCAGATTGTTGTTGTGAGAACATGTGATCTGAACAAACAGCTGAAAAATGTAAACAGAAATCAAGCTGTCGGGTGTTTTTCAGGTGAGTCCATCATGGCGCTGGTGGCTGAGTTTTTGGGTCAGTTGACGCTGTCGTACGGTGGGGTAAGTTCGATATTTTATTAGAATAACTCCATCATTTGATCAATATGTGATGCATTTCTATGTAAATATAGTTTTGTTACTTGTTTCATGTTGTTGTACAGGGCCCTGATGTGACAGTTTTAAATACTGAAATTAACTGATTTGAACAAATCCATATCTTCTTCTTGACAGTTATTTTAGATTAACTCTTTAACTTATTCTCACATCATTTTGGTTTCGACTGGTAACCAAATAAAACATTTAACATGACAAAACCATATTAATGAAAATAATAACCAGTACTCAAAGATTAGTTCCTGCTCAAACAAACTAAACATGGTGAACATTCTGCTTCTGGTCCTGTTTTAGTTTGCTGATCCCAGCTAAGTTACAAACGGCACATCTTCATATCTTCAGAACACAAAGCTCTGAAAGAATCAACAAAGTTTTATTGCTGCCATAAAGACGTGTGGTTTTCTGGCCACAGTTCATCTGAACAATCAAAGAAATATTCAACTGAGCTGCAGACTTTGAGCTTTTACTCAACTCAAATGCTCTAAACTGCAGCAGTTTGTAAGACGCGTCCCAAAAGATGGATTTAAATGAGTCATGGTTGGATGACTGCTCTGTGAGTCTAAATGTTTTTATCTGGGTCTGAACCAAAATGTAGAATCAGACAGTTTGATTATTGTATGTCATTTTCAAACTTTTGTTCTGAACTCAAGGAATACAAACACAAGAAACCTGACCAAAGACATCCAAATAAACAAACTTTCTGACCCTGACCTAAAATGATCCAAACCACTGAAAAAAAGGATGGTGTTTTAACATTTATTTAATTATTCTTTTAAATTTTACAAAAATATCAATTTCTAAACTACTAGAATTTACTAAATAAACAATACACATTTTATTATATATCAATATTACTGTACAAAAAAAGTAAATGCTAATATTATTTTACCTGTGCTTTTTCTGGACAGCACATAAAGCGTTCAGCAGAAGTAACCATAAGTGAGAGTGGTAGGCCTAGTCATTAATGACCTGTGACTTTCACTTTGTCTGTGTTGTTCATGAAGAAGAATCCAATAAAGGTTCTTCAAAACTGCCACCTGGTGGTGAAGTCTTGAACTACAACAAGAGCTACACCTCTCTCTGTAGCTGTGAGGTGTCATGCTACAATAAAAAAAAATTGTGCTTGACACATGTGCACTGTAATAAAGAACTTGTAAGATTTACTAGAAAAATACTCGTAACAATTTGCACTAATGTTTGTTAAGTAAATTTAAATGCTACAAATTCATATAATATTTACTCATCATTATCTAGTAAAAGTTATTAAGAATGTATATTTAGTTAAAGATTCGTGAATAAATCAAGTAAATTTTACTTAATTTGATCAAGTATATGTTACAAGATTTAATTGAGCAAATTAAGTAAAATTTACCTGATTTATTCACAAATTTTTAACTATATTCTTAATAACTTTTACTAGATAACGATGAGAGTAAATATTACATGAACTTGTAGCATTTAAATTTACTTAACAAACGTTAGTGTAAATCGTTTACAGGATTTTCTCTAGTAAATCTTACAAGTTATTTTTACAGTGTACTAAATACATCCAGACATTTACAACACGGGTGTCCCAAATCTTATCTCAGTATTAAACACATAGTTCCTAGTCCCACAAGTAAACCCTGGGTGTCCACACTTCTCACTTTTACAAAACAAAACATTACTCGTTACCAGTTTTATTGATGAAGATAATGAGTTGTACCAAACAAAACAGTTTACTTAAAATACCTACATGTACCAAGGGCAAAAGAAACAAAAGAACATTTCCTAACCTAACTCCTGATAAAGAAACAGGAGAGAACTGGTGATCAAACAAAAAGTGTTTCTTTCCTTCTTTCTGCCATTAGTGTGATTTACAAAAGATGGCTTGGGTGAAGATTCAGAGACAGACCAAAGACCCCGAGATGAAGAGAACTTCTAACCCTGACCAAAGACAATCAGATACACAGAACTACTATACTGGTCAAAGGTTCATCAGAACTTCAAACACTGACCCAAAACAATCAGGCATAACAAAACACCTCTGACAAAGACATCCATCCATACTGAATGTCTAATGCAAACCAAAAACATCCAGACATAACTACTTACCTTTGACTTGTTCTGGTGAAAGTTCTCAGTCATCCAGGTCATGATCAATTTAAAAAAGTCAAAAAACAAAACAACCGGACTTCTATTCAGAAGCTGGAAATGTTTCTCTCCACATCCGGTAAGTCCATGCTACTCCAGACGTTGAACTGACTGAACTGGGTTTTGACCAAAGACATCTGGCTGTACAAAACTTAATGTCGACCAAAGTCATTCACTTAAACAGAACCATTCTGAATAAAATATTCAGACTTACAGAGCTCTGAATCCTAATTAAAAACATCCAATTATACAGAATGTCCAACCTTGATTAAAGACATTCAGTAGGACAAATCATTTGACTCTGGAGTACAGGACATCTAAGCCTGACCCAAAACAACCCAACCAAACTCTTCCAGACCTACAAAGGTACTAACCCTAACAAAAGATTTACACAATGACTAACCTCGCCCAAAAACATCCAGAACTACAGAGGTTCTAACAATGACCAAGGGTTTAGACTTCTAGAACTACTAATTTTGACAAAAGACATCCACATGTTCAGAACTTTGAACCCTGAAACAAAGACATTCAGACATCTAGAGTGACTAACTTTACCAAAATACACTGAGATGCAGGGAGCTTCTAACTTTGACCAAAGACACCCAGAACCTCTCACCTTGACCGATCCTGATCTCTGCTGGTGAAACTAGTTGCTGTTGGAGTGTGAATGTACTTGTAACATAGAACACAAGTTTTTTGACCAGTCATCAGATATCTTGTGATAAAAGTTTCTACCCTTCAGAAACTTTGACCCTTGATAGTAAGAGCTGGCCTTGAAACTGTAATGTGTGCCCTCTGCAGGAAGAGGAGCCCAAATTTCCCACAGTGTTTCCGGTTCGAGACTTTGACCCAACCAGAGACGCTGCCAGAATTGATACAGCCATCAAAACTAAAGGTGAGATTGATGCGAACTACACCCCTACCCTGACATCTATGGAGTTCCGTTTGTGCCAAAAATTATGGAGTTCCATTTGTGCCAAAAATATTTTTGGCACAAATGGAACTCCATAGGACATCAGGTTTGGTATGAAACCTGCATCATCATCACTTACAGGAGAAACTGTAATACGTCAACACCTGAGGAGCTGACCTTTGAGATTTGTTCTCATTCTTTTACTTGACACCAGTTTAAACTCATCTTCCATCTGGCAAAGCAGACATGTTTTTGTCATTAACGTCTCTGCTGTGTTTCCATGTTGTAAGAAAATTTATTTTCTCTTTTATTTGTGTCCATTTGAAGCTAAAACTTTAGTGTTTTCTTCTTCAGATCCCTGCATCTGTTTCAGATCAGTTTAACAGAACAGATGTGATTCTTGATTGTGTTTTAGGAGTAGATGAACAGACCGTCATCGACATCCTGACCAGACGCAGCTATGACCAGCGGAGAGAGATCGCCTTCGAGTTTGAACGGATTGCTAAAAAGGTGAGTTTTCTTTCTGATGAACTGAACAGTTTCATACTGAGCCCGCGAGGGGACATGGGGGATTTTTTTTTCTTTTTGCGTTCCCTCGCAAAAGTCTTTAAACACCGTTGTGCTGCCGGTTTATTAACAAACTCACATGTTTACGATTGGCGAGTTAGCCTACTGCTTTAATTCAGCTTCAGAATGAATATATCACACAGCCACACATGGAAGTATGTCATATGTTGATATTTTAACACAGTGCAGCCACGCAACATCAATGTCAATTTAACGAACTGTGGCGAGACATCATGTTTTGGTAACCGGATATTTCAAAATAAAAGTCTGATTTAATTCAGTTTCATATACAAATCAAACTTTTGTGTGGGAACGCAAAACAATATAGCGAGGTAACGCAAAAGTATTGCGAGGTAACGCAAAAGTATTGCGAGGAAATGCAAAAGTATTGCGAGGAAATGCAAAAGTATTGCGAGGTAACGCAAAAGTATTGCGAGGTAACGCAAAAGTATTGCGAAGAAATGCAAAAGTATTGCAAGGTAACGCAAAAATATTGCGAGGTAACGCAAAAGTATTGCGAGGTTATGCAAAAGTATTGCGAGGTAACGCAAAAGTATTGTGAGGTAACGTAAAAGTATTGCGAGGGAAAGCAAAAGAAAAAAAATCCCCCCATGTCCCCCCGTGGGCTCCGTAGTTTCACAAACCTCCCTGCAGAGATTATTTATTCAAATTAATCCATTAATATCTAAGAAAATAAACACTTTAAGCCAGCTTTTAATGACTCTAGTTTTCTGTGTATTTTTGCCAAGTCAGAGGGATTTATAATCAGGATTTCGTCCATCGTGCACCTACTAAGGGGCTGATTTATCAAAGGTTTGCATGTATAAAAAGCCAAAACACAACCTTTGACTTGTTGACTTGAATCTGAAAATACTTTCCCTGCAGCTGAATCATTAAACTGAGTTTGAACAATTTTATATATGAAGTTAATAAAAAACATCTTTGTAATATTTTTCAGGATCTGATGACTGCTCTGAAGGGCGCCCTCTCTGGGTCTCTGGAGGCTCTGATGTTGGGTCTGATGAAGAGCACCGCCCAGTACGACGCCTCTGAGCTAAAGGCCTCCATGAAGGTCAGACTCACAGATCGGCAGAAACGTTTGTGTTGATCGAGCCACAGTGAGCGCACACTGCGGGTCTGTGGAGGAAAACTAAAAACTCTGCAGGTCTGCAGCAAATCTAAACTAGCTTAGCTGCACAAGCAGTTACATCTGCCTCTGGTAGTTATAACAGTAACACATTTATAACATATTTTTATATAACAAACATTTGAGTCTAACTGGTATAATAAACTGCACAAAAATTTATCAGTGTACGTTCTGCATGCATGAGTGTTCAGGGCAAAAAGGCAAGGAAACCATTACTGACTAGCGAGCAGTTAGCTTCCATTAGCTTAGCATGCTAACCAGCACAAATCTTGTTCATAAAGTCATTATTTCGACAAAAACTTGGGGAACCTTCAAAGAAACAGTGTTTATACACCCATGATAGGCTTTACGGGTTTGTTAATTTAGTATAAATGTGACTTTAAGCTGATGTCAAGCATTGAGCAGCTTCACATGAACCTCCATCAACTTCCATCATAGCTTTAGCTGGGAGTCATGAGCGCGCCTGATGGACCCCTCGCACGTGCAGCTGCACCAAGCTACCAGTAGGTGGCTCTAAAGATCTAACAATCACTTTAACGTTTCATCTCTTTTAAAGGGGCGGAACTTTTTTGCAGTGGTTGGCCAAGGTGCTTTTTCTGGGGGGAACAAAGTAAAACACAAAGATGGCAACCACAGCTAATTTTAAATGGCTTTAATTCAGCTGTTTAAAAAAAATATTGAGCTGAAGTTTTGTGTGATCAAAGCAAAGAATGTTAAAAAACAAACATGCTGCATGCTAGTCACAACTTATTTTTCAGCCATTTTCAGACATACAAAGCTGAAGATTAGTGTGGTAGTAGCCAAAAACAATCTTTACCCAATTCTAGATGCTATTAAAAAATTCAAGATGGTCTCCATATCTAACTTTAAAAGCCTTTAATTCAGCCACTTTAAGACTCATTGAGATGAAATTCGGTGTGTAGTAGCCAAGACTGATCACACGTCCATTGCTGATGCTAATCCCAAATTAAGCTAACCACAAATGCTAATGCTAATTTTACAAAAAAAGCTAAAATTTTACGCAGTTGAAAATTTATACAGTACAGTAACATTATAGAACAGCAAAATCTAAATGTAAATACTTTGGATTTTGATTACAACATTCTGATAGATGTTTTATTGAAAGTGGTTCTTTTGTTTCTAAGCTAAGTTACTGTAATTAAAATAAATTACTTTCTTTCTAGTTTAGCTTTTTATCAGGTTAATATATAAAACCTGACTCTGCTGTTTCTTTCAGGGTCTAGGAACGGACGAGGAGACGCTCATCGAGCTCGTCTGCTCCAGAAACAACGAAGAACTGGCAGAGATCAAGAAGTTGTACAGAGAACGTGAGTGTTGAAGGTGTCGGAAAGTTTTCAGAAAACCTCTGAAAACATCAGTGAGAAGAGCTGGATGTCAACTCAGATTTTAAATAACAAATACTGACAGAGTTCATTTTCACTAAGTTTATGTTGCTCTGGGTTTTTAGTAGCAGCTAAAGAGACAAAACAAACTGCAGCACAAGTCGGGCAGAAAATACCAAACACCTTAAAAAGTACACACAAATTAAATGAAGTACTGCTTTTGAACCCTTTAGAGTAAATTCACAAGCTTGGTCTCTTTAAAGCTAACAATCTGAATTTTTAACTACAGCAGTCATTTTCTTTGTAACTGTAATTAGTATTTAGTTTGTTGAAGTAAAAATACACAAAAATCAAGATATTTTCTCCCTAATTTTTTTTAATTTAAAAAGCATTACAGAACAGGATGGGAATGAGATATTATCAAACAAAATTTACTGGGCTAAAATATTAATTCCCAACTATTACCAGTTCAAATTTGGTAACAGTAGCATAAAATATGAATATTTGAGACATAGTACAATCCAGCATGTCTCATTTGCATATTACATGTATGTCCAAACTGTACAGTTTGTCTAAAACACTGTAATTTCTAAATGATTCAACACAGGGACTTCACTCTGGGCTCAAATTAAAGACAAAACACATTCTACCACCCATATTTACTCACAGCATGATTAAATTAAAAAATATTAATATTCTGAAATATTAATACTATCTGGAGTACGTTCTGCCAGTTTCCACAACCAAAACAGCCACAACACAAACATATCCTTATTTATTTCAAAGCATTAACATTCCACACAGCTAATAAAACCACCAGCAGCGAAAAAATATTTGTTTTTCACTCACCTTTGATACATATTTGTCCTCAAATATGAAAAAATTAGCGACTCAAAATGGCCGACCGGAAGTGTTTTTATCCAAACATTTTTACTTCTCCTGACCACAAAAATCACTCTTCCATCTCTTAAAGCCCTCGAAACACTTAATAACAAATATATTTTCATCTTATCAGCAGGTTTAGTCAGCTAACTGGCCAAAAAACTATGGAAAAAAAAAGTTTTCCTGTGAGCGTTGCTTCGTTTGGTAGCATAGCACGACTACCTAAAAATGGCAACCAACTCCGTATTTTGCTGTTCCGTCACTAAACAAAGTTCCCTCCCCCTCAATATATACACCAAATAAAAGGTAAGGTGATTGGCTACACAGCTGTGGCATCAGAACGAAGCTCAGAGCTGATTGGCCGATTCTACAGTTAATCAAGCCCAGGATGACAGAAACCGGAAGTTGGTCACTTCTCATATATTATTGGCTCTGGACAGCCAATACTTGAACCCAGTTGGTCAAATGAGGTGTCAATCAAAAGAGGAGGGCCTAGACGGCCATTTTGATGCAATGAACATAGACATGGGGTGTGTCCAAAACGGCAGGCCGGGTCCTCCGAAGGCCGAATTCGTCGGCCGCATACGTCACAGCGCCGCGACGAAGGACGTCCAAAACCGAAGACTCCTCCGATGCGGCCGACAAATACGTCCTTCCTTTGGCCCGAATCGAGGGACTGGTCTGATGGATCCTTCCCGGCCCAGCATATCCCATAATGCATTGCGGCCCAACCGGAGATTTTTTTATGCTAGTAATGGCGGACGAAGTGAGAGAAAAAAATATGGTGATTTAAAAATTAAAAAAATTTAATGGTTGTAATTCTAATACTTTTATCATTTGTATGGACGTGTTTTTAAATATTATTTTTGTCATAAAAAACGCGAAATAAACATGAACCTACAGCGGGTCAATTAGTTCTTCAAATGATACCTTTAAGTTAATTTTATAGTTTTGTGATRTTAATAATGCTAATGTATTGATATTTTTCTARTTTTGATTTAAGTTTGCTTGTTTAGCSTCGTCACAGTTGCTAGGTGACATGACGTACGCCGGGGTAAGGAGGGGAGGCTAGACCGTCCAAATTCACAGCCTCTTTTTTTCCAGTCTTCCCGGTCTACCAAGGACCCGGCCCACCTAGACCGGGTAGTCTGGGTCCTCCRGAGGACCCGGCCTGTCGTTTTGGACACAGCCAATGGCTCTGGACAGCCGATACTTAAATCCAGTTGGTCAAATGAGGTGTCAATCAAAAGAGGAGGGCCTAGACGGCCATTTTGATGCAATGAACATAGGCATAGACATAGATAGATCAGAAACATAGAAAGACATTTCAAAATAAAACGAACCAAAAACGGCATGCGGGCATTCTGCTGAAAGTATGTTAGCTTTCTTGCACACATTTAAACCTGTTCAGCTTTAGACCTGTTATTCTTAGATAGATTTTATAAACTAACAGATACTTTATTGATTTGAGAAGGAAATTTAAATCAAAAGGTGGCACTATTGGGTCAAAACATTTTTATCCCTACCTCCTAAACTGTTTCAAACATGCAAAAACTTTAATCCTTGAAAGTTTATAAATCACTATATTTAGGCCACACATATATATATATTTTAACCTTTTTTGCTACATTGCAAATTACATAAAAACGATCAAGCCCAATGTGCATAAAAACTGCATCTATAGAGCAGAGTGAACAAAGTCACACAACTGGATGAACATCCAGACGTTTTGAGCTCCACCTCATAAAGAAATGAAATATTTTGTCTCACATTTGTCAGGTCCTCGGGGAGCTGCTAGTGATGTCATTCATTTCTGCAATCCTTTTTAAAATTTTATTTCTCTAATATTTTTAGACTTTTTAGACATATCTTTGATTTTCTTTTGAAACGTCTTTCATTTATGTTTAATTAATATATTTGCCTTGTTTTGTTTGTGCAGTGTTCAAAAAGGAGCTGGAAAAAGACATAGCAGGAGACACCTCTGGAGACTTTGCCAAACTCCTGCTTGCTCTGGTCCAGGTACCTTCAGAACCAGCACCGACCCGAGATCATTGCTTCTGTCTGAGCGTTCTGCTGGTCTTCAGCATGAAGGAACTGGAGAACACTGACTTTATAACCTTTGTTTTCACCTCCAGACAAGAAGGGACGAACCGTCCAACGTCGTGGACTATGAGAAGATCGATGATGATGCCAGAGTGAGTCAGAACAGATTTATTCAAATAAACATTCTTATTTAGCTCCTTGAACCCTGGAATAATTACCTGAATTTTAAATTTGCCCTCCTGAACAGACAGACACAAACACTAACTGAGTAATTAGGAGGTAAAAATATAAATATATAAAATAACTTTTAAGAAAAATGAGATCTGGTCCCCCTGAATAAGGTTATATTCATACATCCAAATCATCAAATAATTTGTTTTATTTGTTGTCTGAAGCTGACCAGGGGATTAAGATTAACTGTGATTCTAATCTGATCCATCTTCAGTCTCTGTATGAAGCTGGAGTAAAGAGGAAAGGAACTGATGTGACGACCTGGATCTGCATCATGTCTCAGAGGAGCATCCCTCACCTGCAGAAAGGTCAGACACAACTGAACACTTCTGAAAATACTGTACTGTACTGTACTGTACTGTACTGTACTGTACTG